TCCTCTTCTCCCTGTAGCTGGCCGAAACTGAAATGCATTTCTGGATAGTGTAATAGTTTCAGTTGGATGAGTTAAATGCTTCAGTTTATAATAGTATTTGACTTCATGGATGCAGTCCAAACAATCAGGTGGAAAGGCACAGGGTCTGAATGTGTCTTCCCTTACCATGAGCAGGGAAAGCCTCTTTCATTTTTGCCTAAATTGGAAACCTCTGGAACTTTCTAGAAGAAGTCTGCTCTGTTAATCTGAAGTGTTACTTGGAGCTTCCCTCCAGCTTTGAGTCAAGGCTACAAGACATGGAGGAATGTAGACTGACTCTGCCTGCTATGACTACTTTTAATTTGATTCCCAGGAGCCTTACTCTTCTCATGCATTCTGTGGGTCTGAAGGACAGGCATCTGAAATTTGTCTTGAAATATTCCACACCTCAGTGTCAAAATTCAGTGTTCATGCAACAAAGCACTGTTGTACTCCCTGTGCTTGAGCACATGCGTTCATTCTTGTAGTGCAGCATTGTCCATAGTGATGAGCTCATATACCAGATGTGGTGTAGCTGTTTTACTTGTAAGGCAGGCAGAAAACCTGGGTGTGGCTCTTACAGGGTACAGTGTACCTCAATTTTGCTGCATTGCCTCCAGGTTTAAAGTAATTTTTACTTTCTACAGCACAACACTTCTTGCAAATAGCAACATTTTTCAGCTGATACTTACTGTATATAACACATGGATCCAATGTTATAGCTCTTAATGAGCAGACAGTGCCTGTAGAAAATAATTCTTTTGGCTCCTGCTATCCAAATGGGGAAACTGCTGTCCTTAGGTATATCATGAATGACAATTACAGAAGTACTTTCAGAATCAAATCAGTTGCTGCCACAACTAACAAACTGCACAAATGGACAGGAAAAAGGGTTCTTGCTTTTGTGTTTCGTATAGATTAACAAGATAGCCCCTATTATATACTAATATTAGAACCTAGGGAATATGCAAACTTTGGATGTATGAATAAGGGCGTAATTACATAATGCTAGCAAAACCAGTTTTGATTAATTTGTTTTGCTTTAGTATAAAATGATCAATTTGTAATTCTAACACATGGTTTAATTCCTGCAAGGTGGTGAAACCTATCCCAGGGAAAGGAGATGGATCAGAAATGAACAAACTCTCTCTAGAACCTCAAGATGAAGGACAAAGCACCGCTTCTTCACCTACACTGAAAGGAAGACGTAGTCCTTCTCCAAGCAGCTCCTCATCGTCATCCTCTAGGACGGTTAAATCTGAATCACCAGGTGTTAGAAGAAAAAGGGTATCTCCAGTGCCTGTAAGTTGCAAGCTGTGATGTGATTTTTAATTTAGCTATATTCTGCAATCTTTTGCTTATAGAGGCAATTAATCCTCCCTGCACAGGGCAAGATGCTGATACAAGGGGTTATTCCAGGGCATTACTTGAATGAGATATGCAGAGGATACCTCATGTTACGTTTCTTATGTGTGAAACTTTATTCCCTGCTTAGGGGTGTGTTTTCTTTTTAATTCAGTCCTGCTTTCAATTTTTATTTCTAGGAAATAAATGAAGACATGTATTTTTTCTTAGCTTCATTTGCATGAGGAGGTGTTAGTGTTTTGTGGTTTTTTTTTTTCCTGTAGTTTTGCATGTCAATTCTCCAGGCAGGTATATTCCTGGAGGAATAGGATTGGAACAGGATTGTTAACTGGATTAAGATTCCTGCAGAAAAGTGTTACTGGTATGGTACCAGTGATCTTCTCTTCCAGAACTGATCTGTACATACAGATTAGGGGAGATTTAGGTATGTATGTTGTTAGAAGACTAAAATCTCTATCATTACATTTGAGAAGATCTCGAATAGAATCTTCTGAGCAATAGTAACTGGCTTCATTAAAGATCAAGAGTATGATGTTTTGAGCAATAGTATCTAACAGGTTTGCTTGTTATAAAAATGCTCATCCGTAGTTTGGCTTCAGTTGACTTGTCTACAACTTCACAGTGCGATTAGGGGAAGAACAGGATCTAATTGCTTTAAACAAGGTTTCCAAAACCAATTAAAATACGTACTGCTATTCCTCTGAACTAGAGACAAATATCAGAAGTTACAGCACTGCAGCACAGCTCCCTTCTTGACAAAAGAAACTGAAATGTTAAAAACCAAAACAAAACAACAACAACCCACCAAACTATCTAATTTAGCCTTTGATCTATTTTTATTTGATTGTTTTTCTTTGTCTTATACTAACCTTTCACATGAAAAACTTTACAAGTTCAGGCTGTCGTTTACTTAACCAATGGACAGTGAGCCAATTATAAATGGCATCATTACATAAAATTCAAAGTGGATATAAATCAAAGCAGAAGATTTGAAAATGGGCAGAGCCATTAATGTATCTCATAATGTTAGAAATGTGAAGAATTTAAATGAAGACAATTAAAATAAAAGGTTAAGATAAAAGGGTTTGGGTCATTGAATTTTTGATCATGGGGAAACACCACCCCCCCCCCCCCCCCCCCCAAAAAAAAACCCAACCAAAAAAAAACAACGGAAGAAAGCCAAAAACCAAAAACCATCCTGAGCTGAAAGTTACTTTAATTGTGCAAAGGAGAGGAAGCTGTATCCGTCTTTTCTCTGGAATTGCCTAACTCTTGTTCTTCATTGACAATCTATTCCCTTTTGTAAACTGTAGTCATAGGTTTTCTTCATTTATGAAATATATTGGCATCATAACTTTATATAATAATTTCTTGTATTGTCACAAGTCTATGATTATATTCTCATTGAATTATGCTTGCTAATTCAGTAGTAATGTGGTAAGGCAACCACTGAAGACTTAAACAGAAGCAATTTAAAAGATTCCTTTTCTGTCATGATGTCAGACAAAATTTTAGTTTTTATTCTGCCCTCAAGTTCTTGTCATGGAAGGAAAGTAATCCTTTTAAAATCATGCAGTCTAAGCAGGTTGTAGTAGTTTAATGTTTTGGGGACTCTTATTCTGTGTCATTTGGAGGAAAACAAAACAAAAAACACCAAAAAAACAACCCACAACACCTAACTAAACTTATTGTTGTCCTGGAAATGCTTATGATGGAACCACTTATGTAGTTTCAGAGTGGACGAATAACCCCACCTCGACGAGCCCCATCTCCAGATGGCTTCTCTCCCTACAGCCCTGAGGAAACAAGTCGTCGTGTCAACAAAGTTATGCGAGCCAGGCTGTACTTGCTGCAGCAGATAGGACCCAACTCGTTCTTAATTGGAGGAGACAGCCCTGATAATAAATACAGAGTGTTTATTGGGCCTCAGGTAGAGAACAGTTTTGTGTTGTCTCTAGCTTTTATTAATTTATAGTTAATTTTGGAAAACTGTTCAAAACCAAATTAGGTTAAGTTAGTTGCCAACCCATGATAATGGTTCTATAAAGTAATGTTTAAAAGTTGTAATCTGTGCTCATGTAAAATAATAATCAGCCCGTATTTTGTCAAATATGTAGCAACTCTAAAATTTCTCTTTTTTAAAAAAAAAAAAAGACTGTAGTTGGGAAGCAATTACTGTTGTTCTATTTCTCATTCCTAGAGGTGGCTCCAAATTATATCTCCTAAGTATTTTTGGCTAAAATTTGGCCACTTCATTTTCCTAGTTTGTCACTCTGAAAGACTTTATTTCCTCTGTTTGGGGGATATACATATATATGGCAAACATATGTCATCATTCCTTTAAGGACGTGATAATTTCATTAACAGCCATAGTAAGGTCCTTTTCATAGACGTTCATAGTACTAATGTGATGCTGCAGTGGGGAATATCTAGGTTTTGAGTAAACAGAAGCATCTAAGTTTGATTGCTGTCATGTTATGGATATATGATGATTATGTGCATAAATTCCTTCTAGTATGAAGTGTAGCAACAGCTTCAGTTGATTTTTTTTTAAAAAGGGGAAAAAATCAATTGAAAACTGGTGTAATAATGGTCTGCTTTTCCATATATATTCCTGAATAATATTTTGCGAATTCAAATTTTCTGTAAGGCCATGTAAGATATTTCTGCCTATATATGACATTCTGCATTAACTACTTTTGAGGCGGGGGGGAGAGGCGGCAGGGGGTGTAGGGGTGGCTAGTATATGTTCTTATGATGGACTTAACTGTGGAAAAATTATGTATGTAATTGTCAATTCAGTAGAGCCTTAGCATATGCTTGCCTTTGCAGACTTGTAGCTGTGGCCGTGGAACATTTTGCATTCATCTGCTCTTTGTTATGCTGCGGGTGTTCCAGCTTGAACCCTCAGACCCAATGCTCTGGAGAAAGACACTGAAGAACTTTGAGGTAATTGATTTCTAATAGATCTAATGGCAGATCTAAAAAACACTCCAGGTAAAAGTCTTTAGGACATTATCTTAAAAATGCTGAAAACTGTTGCTTTTCAAAGCAACAAGGATATATGTTTTTAATTATATTTTTAATTCAGCCTCAAGAGCTCCGTAAGTAGAAACAAAACCCCAAGCTGCAAATAAGACATAACTAGAAGAATAGTAGAGAGCTGTAGTTCAGTGTGAGTGATTCAAATCTTGGATTTTCTACTCAATTTTGAGTAGATTTGTCTTGCTGATTAGCTGAAATAGAGAGTAAATAGAGAGTCTGCAGAAGTAATTGTGTCTATACTTAAAGTTGTTTTTAATAAGCAAATAAGTTTTTGTTGTAAAGTGTTTCTTGTGATTTGTTTATTTGTAAGACTCCTGCAATTCCTGCTG